AAAAACCTACCCTTCAGACGGTAAAAGCTAAATATTTAGTCTGGAAGGCAGCAGGCAGAAGCCCATCATTCTCTCTGCCCCCGGAAAGCTGGGACAGCAGAGGACTGCCCTTGAATCCCAAAGGACTGATTCATCACCTCCCAACTACGGTCCTTGATGTCAACACCTCCCTTCTCAGGCTTGGGGAGGGAGAGATGGGGTGCACAATAGACAGTATCCACACACAAAGAAAACCACTGCCACCCTCCCTGAGTGCTCCTAGCACACAAGACCTGACACATCTCATCTCAGTGAGTCCCTACAATGACCCCATGAGGCAGGTGAAATCCCCACCTTACAAAGTGAAAAAACTGAGGCTCCGAGAGGTTTCTTGACTTGCCCAGTATCACACAGCAAGTACAGGACAGGCCAGGATTCAGTCTACACCTCCCGATTACAAAGCCCCGCACTCTCATCCCGCAGACCACCAGCGAACACCCACAGCTGTTAGTACAGGTGCACAGTGACTTCAGACACGCCACAGCAAAGGGGAAGAGGGTTCTTTAAAAGACACTGCCTTTGGGTGATATGTTCAGAAGTCGTTCCCGCTGAATGGCAGAGTTCCATGGGAATGCAGCAGTAAATACTAGAGGGCAGAGACCTATGAAAATTCAGAGGCCACGGTCCTAAAATGCTGCAAGCAGACAGCAGACCAGGGAAGGGCTCCCAGAGCTTGTGTCGTCTGGAAGGCACTTTGCCCACCAGTAACCACAAGCACTGAATGTCTACTATGTGTGATAGGCCCGAATGTATCTGATTTTCTGTTGATATCTGGCTGCTGTTTTTAATTTTTTTTTGTTTGTTTGTTTTTGAAACAAGAGTCTCACTCTGTCACCCAGGGTACGATGCAGGGTGTCATCATAGCTCACTGCAACCTCAAACTGCTGGGCTCAAGCTATCCCTCCTGCTCAGGCTCCTGACTAGCTGGGACTACAGGCATGCCCCACCACAGCTGCCTATTTTTTTCAATTTTTAGTAGAGATGGGGTCCCGCTCCTTGCTCAGGCTGTTTCTCGAAACCCTGGGCTCAAATGTCCTCCACCTGGCCTCACAGGGGTGTTAGGATTACATGAGTGAGCCACTGCGCAGCCATGGCTGCTGTTTTAACAGCAAAGAGTCCTCAACACAAACACAACTAGCACGCATTGTCAAGATCTATAAATTTCAAGGTTGATACGCTTTAATGGGTTGTAAAACTCTCTATGAAGGATAGCAAGTAAATAGGTCTCGTCTAAGTGATATTAGTGGTTTTCATTGACCTGTTTAAGAGCTGAGGACTCTGGGGTATTTGCCCAAATTCAGTGACATCAGTGTGACTGCACAACTCTCCAGGTCAGCTAAGAGCCCCCATGTGGACCATGTGCCACAAGTCTGTAAAGTAGATCAATGGAGATCAACTTTTTCGGAAGCAGATGAAAACATTATGCGTGCAGTGGGTTCCTGGACCCGCACGCTGGATTATCGCGACATGAAGAGAGGTTCATGTCCTTGAGTGGGCGTGGTGTTATTCGGTGTGACCTGCAAGAAATTTATGACAGAGGATAACTTGGATTCTCGCTCGTGATCCTCACCTGATGTGCGCGGACACACGTTTTGTTTATCATGCCAATCTTGTACGTCTGAGCTCACTGTCCCAGGCACACTGTGGAAACGTGAAGATCTTGCTCCGGCATGTGTAGTCACGCTTGGGCTGCGTATGTCTGCGCGCGCCCTCTTCTGCTTGGAGAATAATGAAGATCGTCAGTGGGGAAGCGGTACACTTGCTAGGCCATCATAAGAACTGATAGATCTGTATTGGATAACACATATAATTACGATTCAAATGTCTGTGTTCCCCTTTCCTTTCTTTGCTCTGGCGCATGTCAGTCTCTTGAAGCGCCTTGCAATTTAAAACCCACAAAAAACCATATATGCCGACAAATCTTGTGATGTGTGCATACGAGCACTAAGCTCCCAGCGCGAGTTCTTTCGGTGACACTCGCTAGTGAGGACCAAAGACTGACCATAAAGTCCAGGGCTTAAATTCAGATGTTTCGCAAAAGGGGAGAAGGACTGTACTGAAGGAAAGAAGCCATTTAAAACTCGTGGGCTACTTTGCATCAGAGAATATGTTATTTTGGCAGCACAATAAAGTCTGATAAAGTCTATTCTCTTCAGTTCTTTAAAATACAAGTTAATACTTAGATTATTTATATTGATTATATACTTAATAGCCATTTTAAAACAGTTCTTTGCATTCTGCCTGACACATCTTTAAGCTATAAACCTTTGTCAAATAACACCTGTGTTTGTCATATTCTTTATCAACCCTTCACCATAGACTATGAATAGCCTTTGTAAAAGTATGGCTGGGTCTTTGACAGGCATAAAGGGATTATAGAGAATTGCAGTACGCTGGCTGTAGGCAGGGGCTTGTTCATTCGGTGGCCAATTAGTTGGCACCTAGCAAACACAGCATGGCAATGCGTTCATAAAAGGAGTTATCTTCACCACCTGGAGGGGCTCCATGAAAATTCCTTTCTAAAAGTTGCACATAGATGGCCAATTGGAGAATAAATTACAAGTTCCAGCACACCACAGAAAAATTGAAAATGCTATTTTGCCTATTCTTTGGGCATTTAACTTAGGGAGTTTAGGCCATAAGCTGAGCCTGTAAACCTGGACTTTAGTAATCCAGTGTGGAAAACAAGCTGGAGGGAAGTGAGGACAGATACAGGCAGGGCAGACAGGAGGCCACAGAGGAAAAATGTTGGCAACTAGGAAAGGACTAGGGTAGGATAAATGGAAATGAAAAATGTGGGAAGACTTGCAAAAGTAAACACCAAGAAAACCTGAAAACATGAGAAAAGGGGGTGGGCAAGAGAGCTGGAGGTATCAAAAACATCTACTGGGTTTATTATTTTTTTTAAACAGAGTCTCACTTTGTTGCCCAGGCTAGAGTGCTGTGGCTTTAGCCTAGCTCACAGCAACCTCAAACTCCTGGGCTCAAGCGATCCTCCTGCCTCAGCCTCTTGAGTAGCTGGGACGACCAAAGCCCGCCACCACACCAGGCTAATTTTTGTTTCTATTTTTAGTTGGCTGGCTAATTTTTTCTACCTATAGTAGAGATGGGGTCTCGTTCTTGCTCAGGCTAGTCTCAACTCCTGCCTTCAAGCAACCCTCCTGCCTCGGCCTCTTAGAGTACTAAAATTACAGACGTGAGCCACCACGCCCGGCCTCCTGGGTTTCTACTAATAACTCACTTAACTGGACAAATGGAGGAACTCTACACATTGAAATATAGAATACCAGGACAGGACCAAGTCTGGGGAAGAAGGGATGAGTTCAGATTCCAACATGCTGAGGTGCTTCCAACAGATCCACAAGGAAAGCCCAAGACAGTCATCAGACACATGGGGAGGGAGGTCTAGGCTTGTGATTCTAATCTGAGGCACACAGTGGTCACGGTCAGAGAGGAGGTACAGGTGAAGAAGAGCACAGAATAGTCAAATAAATGAAGCACTTTCAATAGTCAAATAAAGGAAGACAACCTTGCAAGGAAGATGGAGAAGGACAGCCAGAGAGAGATGTAAATCAGGAAGGACAGGCAGGAACAAGTGGGCTCTCAGCAAGAAATGGAAAGTGGAAACTGGGAAAAAAAGATTCACATAGAACTATAACAGACTCATGAGTAAGCCAGAACTTGGGCCTGTCAGGGATCAGGAGAATTCTAAGAATGAAACTAACCTGATCTAGCAAGACACCAGGCTAACAGCTTACAGGGGTGGGCAACAGAGGAAGACTTTCAGGAAGGTGAATGTCATGTGCAAAGCCCTGTGCACAGTTAGGCTGAATGCATTCAGGGAAACTGAGGCAAGGTGATGGAACTGGAATGGAATGTCATGCCAAAGGTAGGGAAGAGGCTAATGTGTGCCGGACTTTGCAATGCCTCCTGGACCAGTTGTGTTTAACGAGTTTCTCTCTATGTTAAGAGCAAAGAAGCGACGTATCATGGGTTTTTAATGAAGGTGTGACAAGATCAGCTTGGTGGTTTCAAAAATCATTCTGGTCCCATTTGAGGTTGCTGTGAGCTAGGCTGATGCCACGGCACTCACTCTAGCCTGGACAACAAAGCGAGACTCTGTCTCAAAAAAAAAAAAAAGATGCTGTGGCTATTGGCTCGGTTTGTCAAATCATACTCAGTTTGTCAAAGCGTGATTCCTTACTCCCTTGGATCTGCTTGGGAAGATTTTTTACTACCAGTTATTCACCTACACACCGCAGATAATAAAGATTTACAAACTACATTTAAATGATTCTTTTCCTTAAAATTTCCTTAAGACGTCTGGGGATTTTGCACATTATAATAAACAATAAACACAGGTCCCAACTCCCTCCCTGGTCTCTCTAATACACATAAAGCGATTCTCCTCCCTAGAAATTCAGTTGCCATGGAAATGAGTCTGCACCATTAGCACAGGTAGAAGTTGGGAATTTCAGTAAATAAAATTACATCAGCTGTGATACGTATAACAAGTATAACACAACTCAGACTCTAAGCATAGGAGGTTTTAACCAACACTCCAAAGGGAACCAGGGCCATCCCCCAAAATAGAAATGCACAGACAATGTCACATACAAAAAACCACTGCCCCAAGCGTTTCTATGTGTGTCCTGGAAGAATGACTGTGGCCAGAGCCCCTGACATACAAATAAGCAGTCAAATTCTCTGTTTGACAGTTCCCTTTATCCAAACAACAACTCAGCCAGTCTGAATCCTCATCAAGGAAGCTCCAACCGTTCTAAAGAATCATGAGTTCTGTATTCATCTCTTGGCCTCCTTAACATGTTATGTCAGTTATAAGATCCCTGGAAATTTCCAACAGTTTTTAACATACATTGTGTCTCTCACCATTCCCCAGTGTGATTTCAATAGCTTTAAGCATCTTCCCAGCTCCTTCTCATCAACGAGGGGGTTCTTACCGGGATCTCCCACCGAAGCAGTTGGTGCTGGGGGGCTGGTGCCGGTTCTCCGGAGCTACCGCTGTCCCACTGGACTCCCTCGAAGGCGGCTGTGATCCTAGAAAGGGGATGAATCACAGAAAAAGACGGAAATGTTGAGAAGCTCAACCCTTGAGATTTGGCTGCCAGGAACAGAAGCCCCTGTGTGCATCAGAGTTCCCCACCGTGGCGGGATAGGGAGTGGGGACATCTAGCAAGCGGCAGTGCCGGGCATGAGAAGGAACAGGGACATTCGTGTGAGAGCTGATGCGCGCCCCAGAACAATGGGCCTCCAACCTGGGAAACAGCTTCTCTTCTCCAAGACATTCAAGAACGTCCAAGGTGCTTGCGAGCACATTGCCTTACACATGAAATGAACTTCACCCTCAAAAACGTGAGATGGAAGACAGATGCCAACCAGGCAAAGTGGGGGCAAGGAATGGGGGGCATTTCTCCATAACACAGCCAGAGAGCTTTTAACCAAATCACATCATGATAGTCTTCTACGAAAATCCCTTCAACGGCTTTCTGTTTTTCAGCATGAGCTTCCAAATCCCTACAGAGTTCTCTGTCCCCATCTCCGTCACTCTCCTTCCCCCCGTGACCTGCCCACACCAGCTGCCTCTAAGCCATCCCTTTACTCCACACCCTGTCTAACCACCTCAGACTTCAAGTCTCAGCTTCCTCAAAGAAACCTTCCCTTCTCATCTAAACCCCCCAGTTTAGATGAGATCCCCCTAAAGTTCAGGACTCTCATACCACCTAATCTTCATTCATGGCTCTTGTCACAATTACAGCTGTGGAATTATTCGTGTTTACTCATTTGATGCCTAACTTCTCCTGTCCCCAGCCCCCACCAGGTAGATTATAACCTTCAAGAAGTGGAGACCATGTGAATTTTGCCCACTGCCATCTGGCTAGCACCTGGTCTGAGACCTAGTACATACCAGGCATTCAATGATGTATGTATATATTGAAGGACTGAATAAGGCATGTTTTTTTCCACGAATCAAAAGCACCCAAGCACTGCTCAATCCAATTGAAGGATTCCTCTTGGCAGTCAAGGCCCATGCATCCACTGAGATTCCACCCAACTGCCCCTGAATTCGAATTCAAATTTCACTCCTGTGAAGCTACAGAAAGCCTGTTTGGCACCTGGATATTCCCATCATTACATCACATCTAACAAAACACTTAATGAGAAAAATTATAGAGAAACCCAACCCATTTCAGACCTCAGACTTCATGAAATAATTTCCTGCTAGACCCAAAGGTGACTAATTTCAGACTAGATCAAAAGAAAGACACTACCAATGTTCAGGACAGAGCTGGAAACAAGCTCCAATCTCCCTGCTGCTTTCTGTATTTTGCTAGTGTGTATCTCTAGAAGAATACACTGGCCCCTTCCCAACAAATCACTCTTAGCCTCCCTAGGAAGTTCAACTATATTAGGAAGGGAAAAAAATGGGCCAAAGTCACATTTGATAAAGACATTTTGTTTTCCAAAGTCCATGTGGTTTAAAAAGATGTTTTTCCCTCTGCTGTCAAACCAAACAATAACACACTTACAAAGATGACATTTATTGTGGCCCTTGGTCAGAAAGCAGTCCTTGAAAAATCATGTCATGCTTTTGATCCGGAATGCTAGGAAGAGTCAGGGCTAACTGTGGGCCAGGCTGAGCGGTACCCAAACCAAGATGCCTGGGAGAGATCCAGGCTCTCAGCACCTCCTGTCTCCTGCCCAGCCCCGCCCCGTCCCGGCACAGCCCCGAGGAGCAGGGCGGCACTCACCGTCTGTCACAGCACTGCCATTAGGCACACTTCCCAGATCAACAGTTGGCCCGTCCAGGAAAATTGTCAGCTCTCCGCCCGAGACAACGCTGCCTTTGTTCTCTGTCTGCAGGTTCAGGGTCAGCTGCGTGTTCTCCACTGTTGGGCACAAAAGGCAACATGGATGGGACTAAAGCGAATGCACCCCGGGTTAAGATCCTCTAAAAAAGAAACTCCCATTGCATGTACTCTGGCTTCCCAGAGAATGCTTTTCTGCATCTTCAAATTTCTCTCGTGGCATACAAAAGAAAGCGGGAAGGAATATATCTAATGTTATCATTGTTGTACTAGGCAGGTGACAGACAATACCCCAAACACTTTCTATCACAAGGTCAGCTACATAATTTCAAACTTACTAACGTATTTGTTTGCTTCTACTTGCGACAGCGTGCGAAAAGAGAGGGCTAGTGATGGCGTACAGAGGAAGATATCAGTTGCAAGTGGCATCGCACCACCCATAGCTACAGGTCAGCAAAGCCCAAGGAAATGCCAGCAAGAGCCATCTATCTCTAGATGAGGGATGGCAGAGACTTGTTAGTTTCTTATTTGTGTTCAAACATGTTTTTTAAATTTTCGATCCTGAAAATATATTGTCTTAAATAAAGGGAAAAATTTAAAACAATACAAGTTCAATCCAGGCTGGCCAGCCCCATGAGTCACAGAAGGAGAGAGGGGTGAGAAGCAGCCCGGGGCATCCAGCACCATGGGCGAGTGGCAGGAAAACAGAACAAGCTGACACCAGGCGGGAGCACCAAACCCTACGCAGGCTAGAAACCACTGCTGCCACACACTGTTGACCCCACCACTGAGCTTGGCCACACCAAGTAGCTCCTGTCCGGTTAAGCATTCAGGCCGCACTAATCCTTCAGTTCAGTGCGGTCCAGTCAGGGGCCATGGCCTCCCGTGTTTAATAATCACCGAGAGAGCTGGCATTTTAAGAAGATTCCTACAGGGTCCGTAGTTCCTCTATGCTACCCCACACCTTACAAAGCCAGGTCAAGGAACCACCACATATCTGAACCTCCCCTGTCACCTAACCACCCCACCACCCACCCACTCTGCCACATCCTTTTATTTCTTAGTTGCTGCTGTATTTTTTAATAAGCTATCTTCCCTGTTTTCTAGAATAAAACAACGTATGTAGAATTAAGTGTCTCCATAAGCACTAAGGTAAATTGGGCATTTTCTAGAGATAACCGACCTTCTCCCTACCAAAAAGCCTGCTCCAAATCTAAGAAACAGACAAAGCCCTTCAAGAACTTAGCAGAAAAGACTGCATCAATTTAAGGATCTATTATAATAAGGTAGAAAGCAGTTACCCTCCAGGTGCAAGCCCTCTTAAGCATTCCGCCTTCCTCAGCCTCTTCCCTGCCAGGGAGCTCCCCAAATCCTTTCTGGGTCTGCTGTTATTTTCAGTTAGCTTCACTGAGGGCCTTGGTAAGTTCAAATTTCCACAAAATAACACCAGCAGTTTCCAGCAGAAACTAGTTCCTTCAAAAGCCAAGGAGTGTGGGAAGGAACTGAGGCCTTTCAACTGCCAGCACCACTTGCCATCCTTGGAAGGGGATCTTCCAGCCCCAGCCGAACCTTCAGATGACTGTAGCCCAGTTTCTTGACTGCGAGCTCATGGGAGATCCCAGGCCAGACTGCCCAGCTAAGCCGCTCCCAAATCCTGACCCACTGAAACTCTAAATGTTTATATATTTCTTTTAAAAGTCAAGGAGTGTCTCCCTCCTCCATAATGCTCAGGCCCAGTGGCAATACAGCACAGGGGTTCATAGGGCAGGTGTTGTCAGGCTTTCTGGGTTCAAATATCAGTTCCACTGCCTAAGACCTGTGCAGCACGAAGCCAATTACTTAACCCAGGTGTTGGTCTCCTTACCAGCAAAACAGGAGTAATCACAGCACCTCTGCCAGAAGAGCCTTGTAAAGAATTAAACAGCACCTAGTAAGCTCCTAATAAGATATCACTTTTATTATCTTTCTTGATTTTAGACTGAAGAGTCCTGATTTCTCTGGGTCTAACTTCTCACTCATTCATTTTATAGTCACTCTTCTCTTGACCTTTCTGAGACTTTTTTAGGTTGTAGTAACAAACTCCACAAAATTCTCCAAGATAAGCCACTAACCATCACAAAGATGAACTCTCTTCTCATCTTGTTTCTAGGATGCCACCTAAAGATTTCCAGCCTTTGGACTAAGTACAACACCATGGGAAGTGTGCTGGAGGAACAGCATTCCAGAAAGGCTCCTTGATTCCTTTCTTGTTATCTCAAAGGCCATGATTTTATAAATGGAGTGTGGGTATGTTTTTCCATCCCACCTGGATGGATGATAATGGTCAACAGGAAGGAGAAGGAACCCAAGGACTCTTGCTACAGATTTTGGCCTCCGAGACAGTCACGTTGCTAGGGCCCTCGGGAAGAAGCCAGGGGCATAACCAGAATTTTTCTCTCTGTTGTCTCATCTCAAGGATCCTACTTAGCTCTTCTATCTAGTTTATCCACTAATCGTCTCCAGCAGAATCGTGACATACTTGTAGGCTCAGAAATGACCTTATAGCCCTTTGAGACACATATTACCTTTAAAAAGAGCCAGTGAGGGGAGGGAGATTCTTTTTTCTTTAAACTAAACTTTTGAGAATATAACCCTCCACTGTTCTCTTTGAGACCTCTGACTGCTACCATCACAGCCAAGTGGACGGATTTAGGATCGTTGAGAACAAGAAAACCTGATGCCACATGTTTCCTGATGTAATGGAGTACAAAATGTCACTTTTAAAGTCCTGCTTGCGGGCATCCGGTCGCTCACACCTGTAATCCTAGCACTCTGGGAGGCTGAGGCAGGAAGATCATTTAAAGTCAAGAGTTCAAGACAATCTGATCAAGAGTGAGACCCCACCTCAACTAAAAATAGAAAAAAATAGCTGGATATGGTAGTGCATGCCTTAGTCCCAGATACTAGGGAGGCTGAGGCAGGAGGGATTGCTTGAGCCCAGGATTTCAGATTATAGTAAGCTATGATGACACCACTGTACTCTACCCAGGGTGACAGAATGAGATTCTGTCTCTAAATAAATAAATAAAGTCCTCTTGCTAAAAGCATTTAACCTGAACCTAATCAAGCTTCTAACTCACTTCCCAGTTCTCATGAACTAAGGGATAGAGAAACAGATAAAATGATACCATGAGGAAGCAATCAGACAAAGCCAGAATGTGGGACATCTATACCATAATGGGGTGGGGGCTGGAGTGGAGGATGGGCAGGAGGAGACTTTTCTAAATTAAAGAAACATGAGAATGAATCATGCTTAAAGAAGAATGAATCATGCTTAAAGAATAATTCATGCTTAAAGAAGCATGAATCTTGACTAAGCCTTGCTTTGAAAAAAAAATACTCTTAAGACAAATTGGAGAAATTTGCATGCAGACTGGATATTGGATGATGTTTGAAATTATTATTAATGTTCTTAGGCTTAATAATGCTACTACAGTTTTATATAAGGATGCTCTTATCCTTAGGAGAGGCAAGAGTAGATTATGATGACATCTGTACTTCTTCTCAAGTGGTTTTACAGGAGAATAGGCTGAAGTTTTAAGAGTAAAGTGTCATGATATCTGCAATTTACCTTCCAATAGCTCCAGAAAAAAAAAAAAATGCACCCAGCCACACATTCACACATATATATAACAAAAGCAGAAAAATGTTAACAAGAGCTGGATCTACGTGGAGAGTATTTGGGTATTCATTGTATCACTCGTTCAATTCTTCTGTATGTTTGTAAATTTCATAATAAAAAGCTGGAAAAAGGTTATTTTTTTAATTGGCAAGGCTATTAAAAAAATTAAACCTCTGAGAACAGAACACCCCATTATTCTCTCTTAAAAAAAAAAAAAAAAAAAAAGAACACCTGAGCCAGGGCAGCCCTACAATGCATAATGGAACTAAAGAAATCATTAGCTAACTGAGTGACAGACTTGAGCATACAGGGAGACTGAAAAGGCGTAAGTGTGGCTGGAAAACATATACTGGAATCTTAGCTATAAATAGCAGCCGTAGCCACCTTACCTCTGGGGCCCTCTGGTTTCACTACAGCCACGCTGACGAGGCTACAAAGACCCTTTCTCCTCCAGCATGTCATCCTATTGCCTTTTGAGGCATTGCTCAAAAATCAAGAAACCCATGAAAAAGCGGGCGTAGTGAGTCCATCTCCATAACTAGAATCCGACTTAGCATGGGACACTCACTAACTCCTCTGACCTCATCGGGCCCTGTTCTATCTGCATTCATGCAGCTCATGTTTGTGCTTTGAAAGCACCTACGATTCTAGTCACTGTGACTCCACAGGAACAAGACAGACAAAAAATCTGTGGCCCTGGGATGTTTGTATTCTAGCTGGGAGAAAAAGACAATATGCAATTAAACAAAACAGAAAATGCATCACATCATCTGTTAGGAGGTGGCAAGTGGAGCAGGAAAAGATGAAACGAGGAAGCAGGTGAATTTGGGGTGGTGAGGACAGTGTCCCTGAGAAGGTGACAATTGAGCAAAGACTTAAAGAAGGCTGGGGAAGCCATATGGGTATATCTGGAGGAAGAATATTCCAGGCAGAGAGCAATACACGCCCAGAGGTGCTAGGTGGGTGGCGCATGCCTAGCAGGTCTGAAGGGTGGCGGGGGGGGCCAGTGTGGCTGGGCAGGAGGGAGGGAAGAGAGAAGCAAGGGGTGAGGGCAGTAGGACACTGGAGCCCCCAAGTAAGGCCTTAGAGCCCTTGCAAGGTCCTTGGCATTGACTCTGCGAGAGATGGGCACCATTAGAGGGAGGAAGGAAGCGGCCTGACTCCCACTGTAGCATAACCACTCTGGCTGCAGGAGGAACAAGGGCTGAAATAGACCAGACCAGGTAGGAGGTCACTACAACAGTCCAGGCAAGAGCAGATGGTGGCTTGGGCCAAGGCAATGGCAGTGTCTTCCAGGAACGCAGTGTCTGAGAAGACTCCACCCTGGCCTCCTTCCCAGCACAAGTTAGGAAAGACCCCCAACTCCCACCAAGCACATGAGCCAGACCCCACAGACCCACTGATCTCTCGGAATCAGAGC